CCTGTCATTCTAGCAAGTTACTGTACAAATGTGCCCCCTACAGCTTTATATTGAAGTCTACACATTATCAATTTAGTTTGACAATAAAATGTGGATTAATATATTTCAGAATATTTCTCTCTTTTGGTCCGACTACGCGTGTTTCATATTTATTTTTATTTTTACAAGCTACGATAAAAGCTTGATCCACGCCTTAAGTACAGAGAAACTGCGTGTCAAACTAAGAAATGACGTCATTTCAGTAAGTACAGCGAGATCAAGCTGGCTTTCATTCTACATACGCTAAGTCCTATTATGGCAAGATAAGTTGCACATCCATTTATCTTTATAATATTCATGATAAACGAAAGTATTTAGTGTGTTTTAAAAAGAACATATAGTATTTATTCATCGAGATTCATTTGTATTGTTTTAACGTGACGTCATAATAGCTTTACCGAAACTCTGCATAGATATATGGGAGTCCTTAGCCTAGCTGCGTTTTCAAAGAAATGCATTTTCACTATATTATTAAATAAAGCCCCACCCTTACACCAGAACATTTGACCCAGGGGCCATGAACTCACAATTCTGGAAGAAGCATCCATGCTCATCATTACTGTACACTTGTTACTTTGCTTTATAACCAGTAGTAGAAAAAAATATTTTGAAAGAAATTATGCATTTTCACCATATAATCAATAGAGTCCCCCCTCCCCTATTCACCAGAACCCCTGACCCAGGGGCCATGAATTTCACAATTTTGGAAGAGGCATTCTTCCTTATCATAACCTGCATGGTTATGATAAGGAAGAATGCCTCTTCCAAAATTGTTCCTTTGTTTGAATAAGAACAAAGAGCAGAGATTAGATTTAAAAATAATTTATGCATTTTCCTTATAAAATTAATAGAGCCCCACCCTAACACCAGAACCCTCGACCCAGGGGCCATGAAATTCACAATTTTGGAAGAGGCAACCATGCTCAACATAACTCGTCACTATGTACTTAGTTTACTTAACATCCAAGAGCAGAGACGATTTTCAAAGAATTAATGCATTTTCACAATATAGTCGATAGAGCCCTGCCCTAATACCAGAACCCCTGACCCAGGAGCCATAAAATTCACAATTTCGGAAGAGGCATTCTTGCTCATCATAACTATGTACTTAGTTACTTTATTTAATACGCAGGAGCAGAGAAGATTTTCAAAGAATTAATGCATTTTCACTATATAGTCAATAGAGCCCTGCCCTAATACCAGAACCCCTGACCCAGGAGCCATGAAATTCACGATTTTGGAAGAGGTACTCTTGCTCATCATAACTATGTTCTTAGTTACTTTATTGAATATCCAAGAGCAGAGAAGAATATTTTCAAAGAATAAATGCATGTTCACTGTATAATCAACAGTGCCCCGCCCTAACACCCCTTCGCCCATAGATGCTATATACCAAATTTGGTTGAAAGTGGTTAAGCGGTTTCAGAGAAGAAGCTAAAAATGTTCAAATGTTAACACACGACGCACGCCGACGGACGAGAACGGATAGCAATAGGCTGGGTCACTCAGGTGACCTAAAAATGATAAAAACACCAATTCTGTGCTCTTTCCTTCATTAAAAGAATATACCCTCGCTTCGAATTTTCAAATCAAAAAGGCGCTCGCAACTCTCACGTTGGTATCAACAATCTTGTCATTTCCGGTAGAAAATATTAAGAAGAATCAACCCATCAGCGGAAGAACTTTATCCGAAATAGTTAGGATATAAAAATTCGCATATTTTGTATTTTTTCTATATAAACCTATATAAATTTGGTCGCCATTATAGCATATATTTCATCCGCCTGAATGATGCTTTTTGTTTGTTTGTTTTTTTTTGTTTTCCCCATTTTTTTAAAGAACCTGCTATATTTCTTAGCACGGTTTTAAGACAAAATAATAAGAAAGTCATATGTAAAGAGGATAAAATTACGAGAAAAATGCATTTCAATTTAAATGAATAATATTTTTAAAGATTTGATAACGTTTCAACTAGTAATATGTGTTTTTATTTTATTTTCAACTTTTTTAAAGATTTGAAAACGTCTTAACTAGTAATATGTGTTTTTATTTTATTATCAACTTTGACTCTTTATGCAGTGGCACTGTGGGATCAATGTATGAAAAACTACCACTGTATGTAGAAAACTGTGAAAACCCAAGAAACGCATAAAATATTATGTTAATTTATTTACATGAAAAACTCCATCAAATTCAATTACTAGCTCAGCTACAAATTTTGGATCAGAGCAAACACGGACCTCCAAAACATCTGGACCGGGTTGCTCAAAACACTGGTTAACTTTGACCACTTGTTAACTTACCCCATGGTTAAATTCTATATCCACTGGCCAACTAACCACTGGTCAAATATTTGTTGCTCAAAATAAATTTAGCCCTTGGTTAGCTAACCACTGGTTAAGTCATTTAACCAGTGGTTAGTATCCCACAATGCATTACATTTGTCCGTCTGTCACCACAAAAAAAAACATGGCTTCCAACACTGTAAACAAAAAAAGAAGTGAGAATTTTTCAGCTGATGAGACTTTATTTTTAGTAGAGCAAGTGGGGAAACATATCGGGGTTATAAAATCAAAACATACTAACCAAGTAACAAATGTTAAAAAGGCTGCTGCATGGCGCGAGATCACAGAAGCTGTAAACTCAAGGGGTGGGGTTTTGAGAACAGTCGAACAAGTCAAAGTATCGGAAAGCTTGTTCTAAAGCTAAGGGGGAAATCGTCAGCCAGAAAACACATCGCCTGAAGACCGGTGGTGGTCCACCTCCACCCCCAGTTGATGCCATATCACAAAAAATTCTGGACGTGTTCCAAGACTCCCCAAATTTCGTTGGCATTGAAGGAGGGATCGAAGTCGGAGGCCTTGTCTTTGAAGGTACTTTTCCTTTTTCTGAAATAGAATTCAAATAAAACAATAGCAGGTCGACACAATGTTTACATTCTACAATGAGGAAATTCGAAATACCGAAGCCCATCTGCGCACACAGAAACTTCTATAGAATTCATTCTTTTTCATTGAGACAATTTAGTTTAAGTTAAGAGTATATATTTTACCTCGTGTTCTCGGGTTACTAGTGCATTCCTGTCAAACCATTCATTACATATTGAAACATCTCTCGCAGACGGTCCGAGTCAGACGCGGTTCTTCACAAACTGCAAGGTGAAGGCCAAATTAAAGAGAAGCGTTTCGCCCATGTGGTGTTTCGCTCCAGCCAAAATTGTTATAAATGAAACAAGGGCTTGATTCAAAACATTTTTTTAATCAGATAATTTTATAGCGTAGCACGCAATGCCAAGCTTCTTATATTTTTTGGTTAAATACTTTTTTCTCGAAAGAAATTATTTTTTAGAAACTTTGTATATTAAACATATTTCTACAGGGAAAAAATGAATTTTCTTTTGTACAGAGGTGCCATTGCCAGCAACAACTCATGAGGATTTTGACTGTTCAAGTAACTATTATTAATTTTGTAATGCATATTACAATGTATATGTAAATAAATATTGAAATTTATCAAACTTTTATATACTAAAATTAATCTTTTAAATCATTATTTCATTTTTATAATAATAATATTAATCATCATCAAAATAAACTTATTATAATACTCTGGATATCTATTTACATCATATATATATATATATATATATATATATATATATATATATATATATATATATATATATATATATGTTTCTTTTTTATTATTATTATTTTTTAGAACCCCAAACTGCCTTTGGATTAGAAAACACCTGTGTTGGTAATTATTTTCTAAACCAATAACTTTTCACTGAATACAGTTTTACTACTCAATGGTTTATACAATTACATGTAATTTTATATTATAATTCTGTATGACTTTTAAGCAGAAATGATCTTGATAATTATTTAAAAAAAAAAGCATCGTTCATGAATGTTAACAAAAAGAATACAAAATTTATTCCTTTTTTTTATATCAGTTTGATAAATTACATGTATGATGCATGAATAAATAAATTACACATAATATATAATGTTGGTCTATAGATCTACAAGTACATGTATATTAAGAATGAATTTAATAGTAATTTAATAGATCCTGTTGGAGATGAAGCCTTATTAACTGCAGCAAACAACATAGAAAGTATGCATTTTAAGATAATGACCATTAATATGAATTATAATATTAATAAGAATCATGGATTTTGAATGAAAAATATTCTGTACCATATGATAATTAAAATTTTAACATTTACACCTCTGAATCTTTAACAGATGAAGCAACACAGACAATTGTTGAACTCCCTGATAATTTGAAAGGTAAACTTTCATTTAATTAATAAAATACAGAGTAGAAATAATTAATTAGCCAAGTTAGCTAACCCAGATTTATACTTAAACATTAATACATGTGCTAGTCTTTAAATGTTTAAAAATTATGTACTTGTGTATATAGGTTATCCATTTATACATACATGTACTGTATCAAAGAAATTCTTTGCTATATTATTTTGTAAGTTTAAAACACTTAATGTTTACTAGGAACATCTGTCACATATGACCTGATGATAACAGAGTCTGAGGCCAAGATTAAGAAAAAAGACGAGAAGGGTAATTTTAATTTGATTGAATTTTCAATAATAAATAATCCTTGCAATTTTCACAGAGAGAAAGAGAGAGAGAGAGAAGGGGGGATTGCATTCATTATTTAAAATTCTAAGATTAAAAAAATAATTTAAAAAAAGATATTTATACCCTGGAACATTGAAATTATTTTAAAATTTTGTGCAGATAAAGGAAGAAAGAGGAAGAATGAAGAAAGTGTTAGTGTTGCTGCACTGCAAAAATTGGTTCTGAAAGAAGATTTGCGAAGGATTCGAGAAGAAACAGAGCTTATCAAACTACAGAAGGAAAAGGTTGCATTGGAGATTCGGAAACTTAAATTAGAAACGTCAACTATGCAAACTGAAAATGAAATGTAAATTAAAAGTAGTTATTGACAATGAATTGTCTGATATTGTTATTTATGGGCTGGGCAGCTACTTCATCTAAGACATCAGCCTCATCTGTTTGGTCCTGAGTGTCATCACAGCCAGCTTCATTGATTGTCTCTCTCCTGTCCTGAGCAATATTGTGTAAAACAGCACATGCCACAATTATTTTTGCTGCACGTTCAGGTTTACACTAAATTGAAAAAAAATTCAAAATTATACTGAATAATTTTAAGAGTTATCAAAAATTTCTATAAATAAATAATATGACTCAACACTGCATGCTTCTTCTTACAATGAATCGCAAAAATGTACAATAATGAATTACAAATTTAATTTGAAAAGCTTGTATATGATTATGTAAATTATTTTAAAATTACCTTGATTTCTCCATGCAAAGCCAAAAAACGCCTTTTAAGCCATCCAAAACTTCGCTCAACAACTGTTCTAGTTTGTGCATGAGAATTATTATCTCATCTGAGCCCTTGCATTGGAAAGAGAATGTGTAATCACTTAAAATTTACATTAAATACCTTCTAGTATCATTACTCTTATAGCAAATATAGTCATTGTATTATTGATAAATATTTGTACATGAATTAGACACCCCCCCCCCCAACTTTTCTTAATATGTGTTACACCAAAGCTTTTAAAGTAAAAACAATTGAAAGTATAATAACAATCAATGATTACAGAAGTATTTTTAAATGCTAAAAGAAATAGACTTATAATTTAGGTTAGTTTTACATGGGTTCAGACTTTTGGTAGGCTAATTTTTCCTTTTCATGTCTTAGGTTTTCATGATTGAACATCTTCCATATATTCTTACTTAATATTTTAAGATTCATTTATTTGATAAATTTACTATAAAATAATGTTGAGAATTTTCTCTATCGTGTGTTTATTTCTTTTTATTTTATTTATTTATTAATTTTTAAATAAATTATGTACCCTGTGCGGAACTCTCTAGTATGGGAAGGTATTTAAATATCTCATAATTTTGTAAACATGGTCATGATGGGTGGAAACATTTAACAGTGTAAAATGTGTATTAAGAGTTTGAAGAAGTGTTCTTACTCTGATGCTGGACGTAAAAAAAGAGTCACAAGATATCTGCTACAAGCATAGCCATTGTCTCCAAGTAAAACACCGTCAATATCCAAGCCCCGGTGATGTGCTTCAAGGTAGGCCCCGATATCAGATTCTCGGAAGATGAAAGAATGGTGTTTGGAGCCGGGCCATTTTGCAACAATGTTAGTAAATAATCGCAATATTCATCGGATCCCCCACTCAAACATCTTAGTATGAAAACCACTGAATACAGTCGTGTATAAACATTAACTGATTAAGATTGAAACATTCTGTTCCATGCTCACTCTGGTTGGGCAGTAAGTAGTGTTTGCGATTAAGTTTTACATTCAAAGGACTCATTGTTTTCATTAAAGAATACTTGCCTTCTTGATTGCATATAGCCTGGGTGTTGATAGAGGTACCCCTTACGGTTGACATAAGCAGGTTCATGATCAGATGGAGCAATAATTATCACATGTGTGCATTCCACGGCACCAACCACAGCAGGAAATCTAGCAATTGAATAAAATCCTCTCTTAATAATCACCTTCTCATTCTGGGATGGCTACTTAATGAACTGTGAAGATATGTTCACTAGCGCCTGTGATACATCTCTGACACTTCTTGATACACTTGATTTATGAAAGCAAGTGTATCTCCTATGGTTTTCATATTATCCCCTGTAGCGTAATAGCGCATTTCTACTTGACTGATGGCTGAAAGGGAGTATGACCTCATAGTTAGGCGACATAACTCTGGTTCAATCAAGTCTGTTATATACTGAACTGATTCATGTGAAAATCTGTACCTTTGTTTATACTCAGATGCGTCAAAATCATGATAAAAATGTCTGTAAACCCTTTGTTTCTTTTGTTGTCTGCCAAAATTGGCATCAAATAGTAACCGAGCAGCCATGTTTATCTACTGGATAAGAGACTTAACCCACCTCTGTGGACTGGCTAACTTTGGCCAATATTTAACCACTGGATAGCAAACTTAACCAGTGGATAAATTTTGAGCAACAGAATTTAACCAATGGTTAAAAGTTAACCGCTGGATAAGAGATTTAACCAGCGGATAAGTTTAACCAGTGTTTTGAGCAACCCAGTCCAGAGGTGGGATCAGGTGCCACGGAGGAGTGAGCATACAACAAAATCAAATGAAAGTGGGAAATCCTGTAAGAAAAAATATCCTCTGAGTGGAAGTCTTCTCAATTAAATAAGCCGAACGTATGACATCCTGATGGCAGAGGTAAAGAAATTGTGCAGGTGTTATGGGAATTCGATTGTCTTGTTTGTGTCAAACACAGAAATATTTTGGGTCTGCAACGGAAGAGGAACAGATGAACCTGTTAACACCCATTACCCACTCTTAAGATAAAACGACGAGCAAATCCTAAGTACCTGCAGTTCATATATCCATTCACTTAAGGGGCCAACTTGGGTTTTCATTGCGCAATACTTCGCGCATCATCGTTAAATGAAGCGTATTTACTTTCTTTAATCAACTATATTCACTAACAATAAAATTTAATAACAAACTTAAGATGGAACAAGTTTAAAAATCTTATTACAATTTCATATAAATTATTTTTAAAAAGATTTTAACAGAAGAGGTAGATTGACGTCGTAGTAGTGTGTTTGTGACGTTATGTTTAACTTTTCTTTTTTAAGAGGGGTCTTATGAAATATATATATTATAAATATAAGTCCTTGAAATTTTAAACAAAGAAATTTGAGAGAATCTCATAATTTTTTCCGTATTTGTGTCAATTCTTTGAATTTGTCATACTTTATAGTTCTTCATAAAAATAGGAAAATTTCGTGAAAAAATGACTTGTTGAGATATTCCCAATGGAAATAAGACGGTAGAATTTTGTACTTGTTACTTATAATGTACAAAAGTAGTTTTCTCATCACGTATTATTTGAGCAAAAAGATATTTGTATAATTTTCTTTGAAGTGAAAAATTGACACTCACAAATAATCCTGTAGTGAGACGGTCTCTAAAAAATATCCCCTAAACTTGGCATGTTCTCTTAAGGCATGTTCTCTGAAGTCAATGTTAGTTATTTACTACAGAAACAAAGCCATAGAAGTTTTACGACCTATAGAAAGAAACATATCAAAAACAATACAATAGGATAATCAGTAATTTATTAAGAAGATATCAAAATCCAAATGTAAAATAATGTTTTTGCTTCTGTAACAGCATTTATTCAGCGCTTTCACTGCATTTCTACCGAACTACTTTCACAGAAGACGTTTAAAGAAATTTGTAAAAAGCACCATTGTTCATCATAATAAACACTGTTTATCTGCTCAACACTAAGGAGCAGACAGAATTATTTAATAAATTTATGGATTTTTACTATATTATTAAGAGCCCTACACTTACATTAGAACATCTGACCCAGGGGCCATGAAATTCACAACTCCGGAAGAAGCACTCCTGCTCATCATAAATATACACTTACTTTCTTTGCGTTATAACCAGCAGCAGAAAATTTTGAAGAAATTATGCTTTTCACTATATACATGATTACATGCAATCAAGAGAATCCCTGATTCTGGGGCAAACAAATTTGTTAGAGGCATCCTTGATTATCATTAACATGCACTGTGTTTGTTAAATAGAGAAAAAAGTTTTTTAAAAAATAATTCATTTTCATAATGTAATCATTAGAGTCACGCCCTAACACGAGAACCTCCGAGCCTGACGACGAACGAAGACAAAAACAGATAGCTTGAGTGACTCTGGTGACCTTAAAATTTAATACAATCTTTAAAATGTACATGTATTTATAAATTCAAAGTCATAAAAGCGAAACAGTTCCTCCTCTGAAGGAAATCCCACATCAGATGTTGGTCTGGGTAATCTTAGGATATTGATGCATGTACTTGTAGTGGTAATAAAACCTGATTTCGATTGCCCTTCAACAAAATCTACAGACGGTTGTTGTGTGAAGCCAAGCACAGGTTCTTCTGCTGTACCGGTAGTAAACTGCTGTAAGGACACACGTCCTCTTCTGCTGTACCCGTAGTAAACTGCTGTAAGGACACAAGTCCTCTTCTGCCATCATGTTTGAAAATGCAGATTTTGTTAAAACAGGGTAAAAGACCAAATTGCTTACACAAAAAGTATAATTTTTTTTTTGTTTACATCTTTCATTCAGGACTCAAGAAAACAAAATTGACATCAAGATTTACAAATTCTTTCATGTCCCTAGAAGTAGATTGCTTTACGTATTCTCCCATGTCCCAATAAACACGATATTGCACATCAAATTTCATTTTTTTCCCGTGATTGTATGTAGTGCAAACTGTGCCTTAGTGATTCTCATTCTTGAATTCACGTTTATAGGAGAGTTCGTTGACAAAGGTGACTTGAAGTTCACAAAAGTAAATTTCATGACTTTTGTAGACATAAAGGTAATGGGTGAATTAAAAAAAATGACCAAACGCATATTTATCAACCCACACTAAAAATACAGGCAATGAAAATAGATTTCTATGTCTCAGCATATGTCTTTAGATAGTGTCTAAATACCTGCCAAATATCTCGTTGATATCTCGATTAACAAAAAAGTTATGCCCAAAAATGATGCTAAAATTGTCAGGAGTGCAACACCTTTTTGTGACATTTTGAAATTTCAATATTTTTTGGAGATCTGTGAAATAAAAAATAATGCTTCATGTTGAAAATAAAGACTTTCCTGATAATATTCAAAGTATTGAGCTTTAAATGTGGACTGTCATAACTTTTTGTTAAATCAGATTGTGGTCATGGCTGATGTTTAAAAAAATGTTATACCATGTCAGGAGTGCAACAGAAAAAATGTAGTGTTGCCAAAAAAACATCAATTGTAAAATTCTGATAGAAAATTAAAACAAAAAAGAATTTTGGAAGTGTAAAATAATAACTGATATACATTTTAAAACTTAAAAATGTTATATAAATCACAAGCAGCATTAATGAGAATCAAGTACATGTATATGTGCATACCCAAGAATGTCAGGAGTGCAACATTTGATGTTTTGCTCCCAAGCATGAAAAAACTATTACCATTATATGATTTTCTGATTTTTATTTTGGAAAATAAAGACACAAAGAACATTTTTACCAAATAGATTCATCAATTACAGGATCTGTCTGTGCTTCAGATCCATATTTTTATGGTCAGGAGTGCAACACATTTTTTTTTAAAAATTCAAGTTGTGTGACGAAAAGACTTCTATTCATGCTTAGAAGTATTCATTAATTAATAATGATCTTTTTGTATAATTCAATGCTAAATTATTGACAGTTTTATTATTAAAATCCTTCCTTTTTTTCAATTTTATCAATTCAGACGTGTTTTTATCTTTTTTGTGATTTTTTAATGAACGGTTAAAAATAAACACACTAAAACATTGTTATAAAATTCGAGTAATTCCTCCTCAACTTCACTGAAACAACAGAACAAGTTCTTATGTAATTTTCACTTCACAATTCTACTTTAAAGACCCCAATGCTTCTGGTCAGGAGTGCAACAAATATATTAGAATTATAAATCATCCAATAAGACTAAAAATAAACAAAAAATTATGAGTAGAACTTTTCTGGTGGGTTACTGTGTTTGTCTTCTAAAGGAAAATATGCTTTAAAATATATTTTATCTTCTAAATATACATTTAAGCTAGTTTTTTGGCGTAAAATAGGGTATAATTCCAGATAAAATGCTAATTTTAAATATTTTCATCTGTTTTAATTATGAAGTATTGGACTATAAGTATTCCGGATTTTCGTAATGTTTGCTTGTAAGAGTTATCGTTCCTGCGGGACGGTATATAAACTTCCGGTTAGGCTACGAAGCGACGAAAAACATGGGAAAATATTATTGTTGTGTCATAAACTGTCACAATTTTAGTGGCAGGGTTGGTTCATTTGGAAGGCATGTAACTTTACATAAACTTCCGAAAGAAGTATACACAAGACGTGCGTGGATTCGCTTGATCAGTAGAAAAAACTGGAAGCCAAGTAGTTATACTCGTGTGTGCTCCATAAGATACCAACCTACCGGAGATTATGATTGAGTCTATACAACATTCTAATGAGTTGATGATGTTTTACACATGAATGACTGACAGTGACACTTTTTTCGCAGTATTTTATTCGCTAATGGAACAAGGAGCAGACAAGCTGTCAACAGAGGTTTTGGGCACAATGAATAACAATAAGTTAGGTCGTAAAAGAAAACTGAGAAGGGTAGATGAATTTTTGTTAGTGATGATGAGACTTAGATTAGGATTACTGTTGAACGATCTGGAATTCCGTTTTAAACTGTCCTCAAGTGCTGTGTCAAAAATTTTCAATTCCTGGATACTTTTTATGTATGAGTGCATGCAATCTCTTGTTTTTTTTGCAGGAGCTTGAAGTTTTGAAGCTACATGTTCCTAAATGTTTCACAAATTTTTCAGACACACGTGTAGTTTTAGACTGCACTGAGATTTTCATCCAAAGTCCATCTTCTTTAGAAAACAAGTCCCTGACTTTTTCTAATTACAAATCACACGACACATTCAAAGCATTGGTTGGAGTAAGTATGACAGGGGTTGTAGTTTTTATTTCAAAACTCTGGCAAGGATCAGCTTCTGATGTTGAAATTACTAGAAATTGTGGTTTGATACATCTTCTTATGAGAGGAGATGCAGTCATGGTTGACAAAGGTTTTATTCATATAGCTAATGATTTGAAATGTAAAGGTGTAAAACTTTATTGTCCGCCTTTTAAATCAGAACTCCAGTTTAGTAGGAGTGAAATAGAAACTACTCGTAGAATAGCTTCTGCAAGAATTCATGTAGAACGCAAGATGGAACAGATAAAGAATTTTAGAATTTTATAGGGTATTATGCCTTTAGCAATAAATGACTTTGCTGACCAAATATTCTTTGTGTGTACTGCTCTTACCACCTTCTACCACCCCTGGTGTCTGAATAAATTACTGGTACATGTACTTACTCTTTGAACATGATATGTTTTATAAAAAACTGAAATGAATTGTTTTAATTTAATTTTATTTCATAATCTTACTTTAATATGAACAGTATCACATGTGTATATTTTATATATACATGTACCCATTCACCCGGTGTATAATACATGTTTATTCGTACATGTACCAGTATGTTGTACATTTGTATAAAAATATCGTTTTTAATTTTGGATTGATCAACTAAAAGCTGAACACTACTCATGAAAGGCATAGTTTGCTATATTTTTTCACTTACTCATCACTATCCCTACAATTAACCCCTTGCATAAGTCGACATCTTTAAACAGTTTAGATTTCTTCGCTGTGCATGTCTCACCTGTGTGGACACACACTTTGCATTGCCATGTTATTCTGTCAGGATGGAATTATCAAACTTTATGCACTTATTTAAGGCAGGGGAAAAGTAACATCAAATATACAGGTTTTATAACAGTGTGCTTGTATTTATTTATGAGTAGTGTTCAGCTTTAACAATTTTATACATTTAAAGTATGGTGTATCTAAGTAACTAATATTTACAGAAATACAGTGAATAATGTAAAACAGATCTTTAAACAATTTATACAAAGAAGACAAGTGTACTAAAACTGTAAACTCTTTCATCACCAGTTATTGAAGTTACACTCATACTTTGTCATTAAGGATGAAAACATGGTTCACCAATGTCAATATTGTCAAATGACACATGATATTAAAGGAAATAAAACATTAGATATATGCATAGACTATGATTTATCATTTTACACAAAATGATGCAATTCAAAGGCTCATAAAACTTCGTCTTAGTTTTTCAATTTTGGAAAGAGCTCTTCAATATAGAATTTATTTAGCTTTATGAGTAATGATTCCCAAAAAGAGTTGTCAAATTGGATGGGAATGACTATAAAGTCTTTGATCGTATAAATAACAAAATCACATCTCTCCATTTGACATACACCCATTTGACCCTGCACCTGGGTATAATATTTATGACTTTTCTTTAACTGAATTGTATTGGTATTGTCAATATAACAACAAAATGTTTTATCCTTGCACGCTTCTAAAATAGTACACTGTCTCCATTTAAAAGGACACTTTACTTCCAAAAGATATTTGTGTGTTTCAAACTTCACTAAGCCATCAGGGCTTGCACCTAAGTAAGAGCAATGTGTATACAAAACCAGTCCCATATCTTCAACAATGACTTTCTGTTTTTTCTTCAATTTCATGTAAGCTATGTACCTTTTTTTAGCAATGAGTTCTTGCTTAATCCCCCAATGCACAGCACTATTTTCTAAAGGTTTACCATGACCCAAGAGTCTACATGTGATATTTTCCGATTTTGTGGAGTCTTTTTTTGTTTTAATTTCATGAAAATTTGAAGCTGTTATACGAGCTGCTCGAGCTGAAACCCACAAAGGATTGTTATGTTGCCCTTTAGTTCGAACTTCAATTTCATCAACTATTTCTTGACTGCATGTGGATATAAAAGTCAAAAAGTCAGATTGAGACATATTTTCATCTTGAACAGTTTTTTGTAACGCAATATATTTGTCAGAAAGGTGAAAAATATGGTCACTAGTCTCTACTTCTTCAAAATGACCAATATTGAGGTCACTTTGTACATCAATATTGTTATTAGCACATGGGGGAAGAATGTAAAAAATAGCAGCACGTGAGTTATTTCCAAGTTTTGCACACAATGAGTTTCTAAATTTTATGCTATCTACTTTATAATTCACAGTTTTTTTATTCTTTACATTTTCTCCAGATAATTTGATCTTCTTGAAACTCATGTCTTGCACAGGTTTAGTATCTTTCTTTCTTTTGCTGGGTCGATTCCACTCACAAGGCTTTGAAGTGCATGGAACATCATCGTCTGTCACAGGGCGTCCTTCCAGGGCAAACAACAGTCCAGCAACATGGGTACATCCTTCACCAAGGCTGCAAATACATAACATAATCATATACATGGATTCATATCAGCTATGAGAGTTTATAACATTTATTAATTTGATTAAATAATGCTATTCACTGAGATATCAAAAATTAAATTGAAGTGTTCATTGTTAGAATTATTGTTTTATGAATGCATGCATAATTAAATAATGAGGCCAAATAAAAAATATGTGTGGTTCCGGTTACCCAACCGTCCCTATTTTATACCCCGACCCTAAACTTTCTTTTTGGCAATTTTCATATTTTTTTCCAGAATTTTCCCCAATTTCCATCAATGGCTCCGGTTTAAGTTTTAGTTTCAGCAATGACGGCCCCCTTGCACAACATAGTACAAGTGTTTATTAGTGTTAAATCCAAAGCAAGCTAGCATGTAGGTGTCCCCTACCAATATTGACTAGTATATTATCACACCACATCTAAATGTCATTTGCAAAGTAGTGATAAGTATTATTTAGAAAAATTAAGAAAATCATTTTGTTAAAAAAAAAAATCCCTACCTACCTACCCTAATTTTTTTGGAGGTGTAACCGGAACCACACATATTTTTTTGTTTGGCCTGAGAGAAATAATCCATTTATTTCATAATTTTAATTTGGCATATTTATATCATTTAAGAAAGTGATTTTCATTTAGTTAATACTGGTAATTCATACCCTGCTGGGCACGTGCAACTTGCTCTCTGGACGTGAAAAGGGGGTTTCTTTGTCATTAGGATCCACTGCTCATACACACCCTGCTTCATTGAAGGATAGCATTTTGATCGTATATAGCAATACCCACTGTCAGGACTTATCTCATTCATCATAATCTTATGTATGTAGCCCTCTTTGAAAAAATTTAATCCTCTAATATATTGTCTATAGCACTGCATTTTCTTTGCATCGACAGTCCTGTGGCTACTGTGGATCAAATAATTCTCCACATCTTGAATTTTAATGTTGGGAAACATATCCGATTTACCTGCCCAACCTGAATCCAGGTCCTTTATATCTGGTACAGGTAGATCTGAAGTTTGACACGATTGATGTGGGGGTATTTGACTGGGCGTCGTGCACGAACGATCTTTTATAGCCTTCACTACACGTTGGGCGAGTTCCAGCTTGTTGCCACTCACTTTTATGTGATTTACTCGAAGAAATGTTTGTATTTGAGATTTCTGATAATTAAGTACGTCTTCTACCGTGGTATTGAATGATAACGGCAAGTCTGTGCCTTCATTACGAAGTGGTTCCATCGCATCGTTTGGAATATGGCGCTATGCAACTCTTTACCGGATGTTTACATACCGTCCCGCAGGAACGATAACTCGTACAAGCAAACATTACGAAAGGAGGGAATTGCACAATTTCATTACCACTTGATGTTGCCAACACTTTATGAATTTTTGTGTTCTATGGTTTTAATTTTAAACTTTACTGCAGTCAGGAGTGCAACAAAACTGCTTCATAATTATCGATGCTTTTTAACTATCTTTATACTATTTGATGTTCAAAACACTATGTCTATCAACAAATTACAGAAATTTTACAGTCAATTCAGGGAATAGTTTTCATCATTTCACATATATTTTATATACAATTTATATATATTACACTTCGCAAATAATCATGTTTTAAGGTCTTCAGAATATGAAAAACCTGCTGTAAACGATGAAAAATATCAACACGAGAAATTGATTTACAAAGTAAGAATGGGTTATTGTGTATTATAATTTTTTAAACAATGTTAAATATTTAAATAAAATACATGTCAGATGTCAGGAGTGCAACACAATATAACATAGGGTAACTTCAAAATCTAGTATTCTTCGTAAGAGAACTCGTATATAACAATTCTTTTTTTGGCTTAGATTTAAAGAATTGACTTGAACGGACAAAAAGGTGAATTTTGGGGAATTTTATTGCTTCATATTTTTTCATATTAAAACTTTTCAAACCAGAATTGAAAAAATAATGTAAAATAACAATCAAAAAGCCAATTTTTTGTCACATGTACAAGAGAGGATACTCATTCAAGGGCTAGATTTAATCATTTATGCCCCTTTTACCATTTTGAAGCATAAAAAACTATAATTTCTTGTGATTATGTATTTTAGAAAGTCTTTTAAGGTGTAATATTTTCTTTTTTCAAAAGAAATTTTACTAATGAAAATTCTGAAACTTTTTAATCCAATTGTCTATTCTATTGCCACTTCAGGATTTTAAACTAGAATGCATGTGCAATATGATGATATAAGTGAAAAATTTGTTATAAGTAGTTGAATTTTGCCAAAAAAATTCAGTTTGGTGGTCATTTTTTTTTAATTCACCCTAATTTAAAATAATGAAACTATCTATGAAGAAGTTAAACCATCAAATTACTTTCAACTTTTAGTGAGCATATATAGATGCGTCATCCATGCAAGAATGGTCCAAATAGTTACTGTACTTGGGAATGAACGTACTCTTACTTGGGGTAAGATACAAGCTGATCTGCACTTTGTCAAGATGAGCTAAAAAATAACATTTCTAATATAGTGTGACAAGATATCTCTGTAGTTTTATATTTAGTTTTCATAAAGTGTGGGAATTCAAGGTTTGTCAAGAATCTGGAATCCTATAGCTGCCAACCCAACATGTCTTAAACTTACTAGAAGCAGACATTTTTAATGAAGCATTTGCTCAATTGCTTTTATATCACTAGGTTTGTTTGGGCGCCATTATTAGCACATGTTATTTCATTTTAGTAATAAGTAAATCAATCATTCTGTTCTATTCTATTCCAAACAGTTTATAAATATCGTCACCACAACGAATATATGTTCAAGCCCAGCAATTCAACCAATGAACTGACAGTTAATAAGCTGCTGTCTACATTGACAGTGATATTCTCGGAGGAAGGATCGAATAAACCTCTGAACGAAGAAAAATGCGTACGAGACCTTTTTGAAATATGTTAGGGAAGTCTATGGTATGCAACGAATTAATTCAGTTGTTACTAAGATAATTTTCAATGAAGACATTTAATATACAAGCTTAGGGTAAAGTTAAATTGACCTACTGTTCTTTTTATCCTTTAGCTGACAGACGTGGCGATGTCAGCGTGGGAAAGATTATGAAATTTTATTTGGGTCGACAGCAACCTCCCAGTAGGCTTTGCCATGAATCCCAGTATAGACTTTTAGGAAAACATTTATCCCACTGCATCAACTTATATCAACAGATTAAAACTTCTTCTGGAAACAACATCGAAAATCAAAGTCGCAACAATATAGCCTTTTTTGTATTGAAATATAGTGTAATTGTTGTGTAACAGTTTATTACTTCAAAACTCATTTAACAGTTCATCAGTCAATATTTCCAGTGTCATCTATGTGTACAAAGACGACAGTCCACGTGTTAATATTATTCTTTTTCTAGAGCGAGCACAACAAATACGCACGTTTGCATCCCTGATTCGGGTTTGTATTTTTTTCAGATCTTAACGTCTCTAAGACGAAGTCCAAAGAGATAATAAAGTTACTTTTAAAACTCACGAAGAACGTAGTAATGGTTGTTTAAAGGGATGTTTTATTTTTATTTTTAACACACGTGTGTTTGTAAAATGTCGGACCCGGACGATAGAGACGAATTCTTGTCACTTGGAATATTGCAGAGAAAATGCAGAAGAAATCTGCGTAGAGCAAATAATGTTGAAGCATTAATAAAAAGAAAAAGACCTACAGTTAGTTAATCCTGTAAATCTCAACATTTGTGCAGTTTTTCCATTTACAGCATTAAATGGACTAGCAATAATGTCAAATTTAAAAACAAAATAGATAGGATATGCCCTTGCGCATTTAGATGAAAATTCAACAGAAAAGCAAAAACAAACTGTTAAAAAAATTAAAGAAAACAACAATAAATTGCAAGACATTGTGATCAATCCAAACAAAGACCTAGATAATTTTTTTGTGTGGGCAGTTTTACAGTCAATATGAAAGAGAAAAAAATATACACAATTTTTTTAAAGTTACCTTGAAATTCCATTATGTAAAGCAAAATAAAAAAGTAAATAAGTGTAAGGCTATAAACCCTAGCTATATATGAGAGTAAAACATTGTGTGAATACAAGAATAATAGAGTTTTCTTCTTTTTCTTAATAGATTCAATATTAATGCAGACATTATTTTAATCAGATTGGGGACCTTGCAAAAAAGCGACACTTCCCGAAAAGAAGTACAACTATCCATGGAGGGTCGCTCTGCCCTCCTGATCCTTCGGGGAGAAAGGGCAGAGCACTCGAACATAACTATGGGAGCAATATACAATATTGTAGCCCTCAAGACCACGAACGAATTTAGCGGCCACAGGGCCTACTGCTCAACTCCCTCAACAACCTTTAAGGTAAAATAAACAATTTTAAATAAATAATTGTTATTCTGTTAAGAATGAGTTTTGTTATTGTTGAGGCATTAATTTAAGCCCGTTTTTTTTTTTTTTTTTTTTTTTTTTCGTTTAAAGAAGTAATTGTTTTTTAATAAAAACAAAAAAAAATCATTTGTCATCGTCTTAAATTCTAAAATGATAATTCTAATTCTAATATAATTCTATAACAATAATTACCAAGCTTTAATAATTCACTACCATTCTGATTCAAATTAAAGAAATTACAATTATGTAGAAATCATATCCATTAATAGCAATGGGATATATACCTCCTATCAAAGTTAACCAACCTTAAAAATATTATGATTATTTTTTTTTGGAAACCTAAAAGATATATTTAATAAAATCAAAGAAATTTCAATGAATTAATGTTCCCACATAAAAATTATTTGTAGATGATCGAAGAAGAGATGAAAGAAGAGAATTTTGAAAGACTAGTTGAGTCTATTTCATTTGACAGGTATATAACATACATTTAGTCTTACACGGTAGATGAGGACATTGTCAATTATTTTATATTAACAATCTCACCAGAAATAGATCAATCCTATTTTGGAAATGAATTGAAATTGCGTATTATTTTTTTAAAAACTTATCTTCTTCATGAAAGTCCTTTATAACAGATTTATAACGTCCGTAAACAAGTATGAGCAGAACAGAAATCTGACGACTTTACGATTTACTCAGTCAGCTTCAAGAGAACTCACTTGTACGTGATTTGACAATAACCTCTGAACATTATAAACGCCATCTCTGTATAGTGTGTTCTTTCCTCCCAGAAGCAGCTTAAAGATCTAGAGCATTTTTGTACTCATCCATTCAAATTCTGGTAAATCGGAAGAGAATGACGGGAGTGGAGTAGCATTAGCACCTGCTGAAAAAAACATTGCAATGAGTAAAATCAAACGTTGAAATGTAATGAATAAGTACGTATGTGTTGAAATTGTTTAAATTCATTTCCATCATTTTCAGAATGGTACAGACTTCAGAACCATATTCTTCTACAATGTTCTGATTTTTCGCCTGTTCGAAATAAACTTTTTTTTTTATAATGTGCAAACTATGCATGATTTTTTTTTTTACAAATGTTAGTCCTAGTACAATTTTACAACACTTGCAAGAAACTGATTTTTATAGCAAGATTTGTATATATACAGATTTTAAATAGAAAACTTTTGTTGTAATTATAATTTAAATGTTTACATATTTTTAAAATTAAAGTCCTTCGGATGGGACGTAAAACGGTGCCCCGTGTCAAGGATAACAACCCCCATGACACGTAAAAGATCGTTTCTCTGGTTTTCGATGAAGAGTAGGCTCGCTGTGGGCCGCCAGAGAATCCCAAAATATCTATCAAACCTGAACATAACTTTTCTTCTCAGAAATATGGCTGAAATATTGCCGACTCGGAGTTAAACAATATCAATCAATCAGAACCCACTGAAATTTTAAAATACTACCAGAAAATTTTCATTCAAGACAGAGAGCTTGATGTAAAACATGAATCTTTTATAATCGAAGGATACACAGCCAGTGTCTTTATAAGCCGGCTGACGATATTGGATGTATTTGCAGAACTGAGTTAAGCTGAGATTTTACGCGTCCCGCTGGAAGTAAATTTCCACGGCGAACAAGCAGAGGATTATGGAGGCAAAGGTGAGAGTTCTTGGCGATAATTGTTAAATCGTTGTGTACAAACAAAATCAAGGACGGGCGGTAAAAAATCTAAGAGCCCTCGAGTCTTCGATTAGAGGAAATTGATTTTAAAATAACCTCGCTAAAAATGATTGAACTTTTATGAAACTATGATTATCTATTTCATTCCTTT